AGTTTTGATGGGCGATTGTAATTGATGTGTGTGAGCTTATTTTCTTAAATGAAAGATATAATAACAAAAAAGTTGAGAGATTCATAAATACTCCTCTGGTCCTATTTATAGAGCAGAAAGAAGATATTTTTTATCCTATTTATAAGAATTGAGAGAATTGTCTTGTATGAATGGATAATTTTACCCATCATTTATTATTGTGTTGGTTTTGTTTACATAAAGTATAATATATATTAAATAGGAATAAAGTTAGAAAATTGTTGAATTTTAAATGAGAGTTAATAAAATTTAAATTTTTTCTTGATCCATGTAAAACATATTAGAAGTGGCTTATAAATAGGATCAAAAGAGTATTAAGTAAATATAAGCAAATTTAGTTGATGGCTTAAACATTTTGATTTCTTTCACCTTAAAAAATACTATCTCCAGTCCAAATTATAAGAGCTAGTTGACTAATTTGAGAAAATTAATAAAAGAAGTCAAGTTAGTTATTTGTAATAAATATGTGTTGTCTTTCCTAAAATATCCTTGCTAATTAATTGTGTTGGTTAGAATTATCATTGTTAGAAGGACTACCTTGGGAAAAAATATATAAATATGAGAGACAAAATAGATTGGGGGTCTATATTTAAAACCAAAATAAAAATCAAATAAGTTCTTATATTAAGGAGCTGAGGTAGTATTTTGGAAGACTATAATTCTTTCGTTATATTTCAATAACTAGGTGTCTTCAATGATTATTAATTCCTTCACAAAGTCTGCAATTGTTATTTTCTCTTCTTTCTTCATTTTTTTTTCAACGCTGCTTTTTCCTTTTCTCTACTTCTAAGTTTAATCTCTTCAACTTTTTTAAATACTTGGAAGAAACCATATCCTTCTAGAAGTGCCTCAAGTTGTAATCGATGACTCTCAATCCATCCATAGACTCATAAAATAATGTACATTGGTGGAAATGAGTGTTGGTTAGGGATGTAAGGGAAATTACCCCCATTATGTCATCACAATACCAATAATTAATAGCTAACTGTTCATTTTTTTTTAGCCCATGAAATTGCTTAATGTAAAAGACAGGAGATAATAGAAGTTTGACTCTTTAAAAAAATTCTGTTTGGCTGAAAATGCTCAAGCGGCGAAAGCTATATGTGCGGTCACACACCGTCACGTTTGCTTCTTTCGAAATGCACAAGTCTGCTCCCTTTTAGCCGTAAATATAACTTTGCAACATTTTTTCTAAGTTTAAAAGCAGCTTATGCCAGTTGGAAAGGAGTTTGGGATTTCAAGTGCTCTTTGGCGACTAGTTGAAGGGCTTATCCTAATCTTTTTCCTATTTGAAAGGAAAATCAATTCATGATTCCTCCAGATTTTGTCAAGACTTCGCCAGCGTTCGGTATTTAGGCTTAGATTTTCAGACGGCAATGTCATTGTTTTAAATATTTCTTTTTGGAAGTTTTCCTCCTAATATTTTCTTCTCTTTATATCCAAACAAAGGGTCAAATTGGTTGTGGCCTTATGAGAATCGTTGTTCATTTAAGCGGCTAAGAATCTATCTATGTACATTGTTTTTCTTTCCAACCATAATTATTATTTTATTAGAAGTAATTTTATTTGAAACAATATTAAATACTAAATTTAGACTCTTCTTTTAACGGGAATTCAAATGTTAATCCGTTATACTATGAAAGACAAAATTTGAACTTGTTCTATTGTGATCAACTAACATTTTCTGCTAAACTAAATCCCAATTCGTGTAAACATGGCTGCTAGTTTACGATGATTGCTCATGTCCCTTGTGCTCTTTTGAATAGTTTGGTCGCAGAACAGAGATATGAGTTTGACATGACATTGATGTTGACACGGAGGAAGGAAAAAGAAGAAAAAAAACAAAGACAAGAGTTTGATAGATTTTTTTGGGGATAGAAATAGGTATATTTTTTATTAAAGACAATTTTTTTTAGTATCGTCAGTCATTAAATATAAAATTTTTTATTAATAAATATTCAAACTTTAATTTATTACGTTGTTGAAAACCAATCTATTCTGTTAGACTCAACCTCCATTAATAGCATGATGGAATCATTATACTCCCTCTATCTTTTTTTATAAGCAATTTTGGATTGAAACATGCAAATCAAAAAGTTAATTTAAATTAGTTTAAAATAATAAACATATAAAAATTAAAAAAAAATCAAAATACCCTCATTCATGAGAGAGAGATTGTAAGAAAGAGAATAAAAAAATTATTATAATAAAAAAATATGTAATGGAAAGAGATTATATTAAAATATAATTTTTAAAACATTTATTGTTAATGCTTTGGGAAGCAAAAAATAAATATATTAACTATTAAAGTAAGTCTTTACTAAGGATAAAATAGAAAGGAAAAATTTTGAAAAAATAATTGTTGAATTTTAATATTTCAAATCAGTATTGGTTACTATATTTATTTAAAAAAATGACAACACTTAATGAAAACAAGTTTTTGTAGTAATTTCTGATTTAAAATTTTAAAATTTAACAGTTATTTTTGGAAATTTTTTCAAATAGAAAATGTGACGGAAAAATTAAAAAAACTTAGAAATATTATTTATATTTAGGAACAGAGAATGATAATGATTGTTACTCCGGGGACGGAGGGAGCATAAAAATACCAATAGCATATAGGAGACGTAACTACGCAGTGAATGACAATTACTCCCTTCATCCCTTTTTATAAAAAGCACTCTCGAAATGTGAAAAACATATTTTTGGTCAAAAAAATGTAAAAACCAAATGGCAAGTGTGGGTAAGTCCTAAAATTTTAAGCTTGTTTTTCTACTTTTACCTACATTAATATATTTGCCTAATAGATGTCCACTTGTTATTTTTTATGTATTTTCTTTACAAATAATTATACAAGTAAAAATATATGTATATATTTTACACATTTATTATTTTTAATTAGGCGTAGTTTTGATTCTTATTACAAGGCACGGAGACAATATGATCCATGTACACTGATCTGTTGTTACATATACGCTAATTACAAGAATGAAAAAAATCTTGAAAAAAATCTTGAAAAAAATCTTGCGATACCCATAAGCCATAACCCATTCATGAGACTTCCTTCCTAAGCCATAAAGAAAATCACTGGTTGTCACTCCGTGCAGTGAAGAATAATTTACTTCTGGAAAAGCCCTTTTTTTTAAAAAAATTTTTTTTAAAGGAGACTTAGTTTAAATTGAAATTTGATATTTGATTGTGCGCCTTTCTGTAGTATTCTTATACTTGCGCTGCTATTTGGCTGTGGAAAAACTAAACAATGAAAAAAAGAATAGGGAAAATTAGAGAAAAAGACCTAATGGCAACAATATTTATGAGAAATGATCTTTAAAACTGTATTTATTTGGAAGGACCAAACACTAAAATATATATTTAAAATGACCAATTTGCCCTTAACAAATATCTCTCACCACATACTTAATTTTCTTTTCTTAAGGGTGTGTTTGATGTGAGAGATTTGGAAGGGAGGGAAGGGAGAGGGAAAGATTTTAATCATTTGTCCTTATTTGGTAACACACAAATTTTAAGAGGAGAGGGAAAATTTTAAAACAATTTCCCCCCCTCCCCTCCTCAATCTCCCCTTCAAAATTGGAAGGATTTGGAGAAAAATGACAATATTTTGTCATGTTATGACTATATTTTGTCATGTTATAACATTATACTTATATCTTAAATAAAATAAGAGTAAAATTATCCATGTCAAAATATTGTTCCCTCCCCTCCTCTCATGAACCAAACAAGATAATACTAAAACTCCTCCCCTCCCTTTCCTTTTTATAAATCCAAACAAGATAATATTAAAATCCTTCCACTCTCCTCCTCTTTCCTTCTCTCCATTAAAATTCCTCCCCTCCCCTTCCTCTCATTTGAGCCAAACAAACCCTAACAAAAGAATTAAAGTTTATTTAAATTAATTCAAACTAATTGGAATTACAAAGTTACGAAACAACTCTAAATAATAAATAAATAATTTATTTATTCGCCCATCATTTTTAAAAAAAATAAAACTCTTTTTTGAGCTTCCTGAATAATGAGCCGATAAAATCATATAGTTAAATTTAAAATTAAAAAAAGTGATATAATGATAAATAATATATAACTTATCCATAATTAATGAGAATAAAAATTCACGTAGTTTAAACTTTAATTTTCTTACACAAACTATTATAACTACTTTTATTAACTATTTTTATTATGACAAATATTTATTGATGTAATAAATTTCTTATGTTATTTTTTATTTTAAATTTTAATTTTATTAAGTAAGAAGATTCAACTTATTCAAATAAAATAATAGTATGAAATGGATAAACAAAAATATAGAGCCACTTTTGCTTTTTTTAATTTTACTGCCCCGCTCATTTTTTAGAAAGCACTAAGTAAAAATAATAGAAAAATAAATTAACTAGTGTTGGTGATTAATTTAATCAATTAGAATTAGTATCTGACTTTAAAATTTAAATTAGTTTGAATTAATTCAAATAAATTGTAATTATTCTACTAAATGATATTAAAATTTAAGGAGGTGGTGAGAGAATATAAGGGTTTGGTGTGAATAGGGTGGTTTGAGTCTTTTTAAATTTATATTTTAATATCTGGTCCCTCTAAATAATTATGGTTTTTAAGATCCTTTTTAATAAATATTATTTCCACTTGGTCCCTCTTTCTAATTTTCCCAAAAGAATATCATCCAAATCATGTATTTAAGGGCGGAATTCAGCAAGAAACTACATATCATATCTACAAACACAAGGAGCATGCTCACTAGGAAGTTCACATTTTATTTAATATGCATGAAACAGAGGACAACTACTTCACACTCGACACAAACAGCCCAAAAAAAATGCATACACAAGCACACAAAAGAACTCTGAAAAACCAAAACACAAAGGTAACCAAAATAAAATAAAATGTAAATTACATTATTATACGTGCAGTAGTAGAAGGCAGGCTAGCGATTTTCAGTAATCTTCGGGAGCCAGAGGCTGGTGAGGATGAGGCGGCTCGGTGGGGATGACAATGTATTCATAGACGAGAGCTGCAAGCCCAGCTCCGATTAGTGGGCCGACCCAATAGATCCAATGGTACTGCCATCTCCAGCCCACTAAAGAAGGCCCAAAAGCCCGAGCTGGGTTCATGCAGGCCCCATCGAAAGGCCCACCGACGAGGATGTTAGCCCCAACAATGAGCCCAATTGCCAGTGGCGCCAGTGCTCCATTAGTTCCTCTCTTTGGGTCTATGGCGGTGCCGTAAACGGTGTACATCAGGCCGAATGTCATCACTATCTCGAATATCAGCGCGTGCATCGCACCCTCGCCTATTGCCAACGTGAACGACGCTGGTCTCTGTAATTACACGTGGCAACACGTGAATATTCTTCAAATTTATTTTCTTTGAATAAAAATTACATGAAAATATAATATTTGTTTAATTGTGTAACTCTTTTGGGTGAGAATTATCATGTAATTTATTCCTCTCTCCCCCCCTCTGTGTGAAAAATGCAAATCTGTTGTTAGAAGAGTATATCAAATATGCATGTCCCTGTAATGTCAAGGTCTGTATAATTTCACCTAATTTAATTTAAAGATCAAGTCGAACCATATAAACCTATAAAAATAACTATAGGGACCTAAAATAAGAGCTGCATCTTAATTTTCCTTTTTAATAAATGAAAATAATTGATGGACTTTTTTTTTTTTGCCCCATAGATTCCTATTCTAAAGGTGAGTTATACTCATTTTTTAAAGAAAAGTATATCTATATAAAAAATTATTGAAATTTCTCTAAATTATCATTCTAGTCGATATAAACTAGAATAATTAACTCTTCAACGTTTTGAAACAAGAAATGGCAAAAACAGAATACGTACCATGTTATTGGTGACAAGCCGGAGCAAGAGAGCGGCGACGATAGCACCGAGGAGCTGAGCCACCCAGTAGTATAAGGCTCGCAGCACCGATATCCTTCCGCCGAGGAGAGCTCCGAACGTCACGGCGGGGTTCACGTGCCCACCCGACACATGCATGCTCGCCGATATCGCCGCAAACAAACCAAACGCATGCGCTATCGCTATCGCCGTCAGCTCCCCCGCCGACGACCCTGAATCCCTATATAACTTGTCTGCATGCCCACAAATCTCATTAATATATATCAGCCATGATCATTATCATCATCATTTCTACACACACTCAATTCTACATATATACTTACCCATAGCCAGGATGGAGCCTTCTCCGATGAACACAAAGATACAGGTAGACAAAAACTCTGCCAAGGTAGCTCTCATGGAGTCTGGATGTGTTGCTTCATCTACCCTTCCGAACGCGTATCTCCGTGTCGCCATTCTTGAAGCTCACCTCAGATTACTACTGTCTCCGTCTCAAAGTGTCTTGAAGGTGTTTGTGAAATTGAAGACTTGAGAGAGGAAGCTGAAAATGAAGGAGCTACCAACAAGTTAAAAGAAACGACGAAGAAAGAGAGAGTTATTTGGGGATAGATCTGCCTTTTGTGCATGGCGGAAAAGTGGTGTGTGGTCGCTTATATGAGGCAAAGTGAGGTTGGTGTATAGTGAGACACCTGTTTGTGGAGCATGCTGAAGAACAGACACGTGTTGCCCACTCACTTCATCAAATTCAATCTCTTCCTTGTTTCTTCATAACATTAATCGTTTTTTTCTTCCCCCATAAAATCTAAACTGCTGTTTATCCTAGCCTTTGAACTCATCTGTATATATTGGGGTTTAAAGATATTATCTGACTCAGGTTTTTGTAGCTATCTTCGTTAATTATAGTGATGTCTTCCAAGTTATTATACTGTTCACAGTACTGTCAAAACCAGCCGGGACCGGCAACATGCATATTATTGCCAAGAATGGTGACGTGAGGTGGGGCTTAGGTCAATGTATTTCGGCCCAGTCCAAGCTTAACATATAGTTTCTTGGTGTGTCCTTGGGTTTTGTTGACTGAAAGATCATGTTAGAGAGCTTGGAGGGTTGGATACATGAATGAATGGACCTGAAGAGGCGAATGGGCTTAGGGCTGGATGAGATGATAGAAAAACTTTAAGAGAGCCAAACTATAAGGATTAAGTTGCAAATTTAGTCAAACTATAAGGATTGAATGATTAATTTTTTTCTAAATCAAATTTGAAATGAGTCAAAAGTATGGAATTAAATTGCACGCATCATATTCAAGTGATTAAATTTTAAGCGAGTTAAAACTGTTAAAAAAAACAGAGAGAGATCATTTTTCCCAATTTATTATTTATTTTAATTAAATTATACTACAATATTTTTTTAATGGCACACAAGCATTCTTCTATTGGAAGCAATCATGTTCAAGCCATCGTTAGATACCAAATGTGAACATTTCTCTTAGTGGCCTATATATATATATATATGCATATATATATATATAAATATTCCACTCTTTTTCATATATTGGTTGCCCGCCTATCAAGGATCTGTATCATTTAAACGCATTTTCTATGTCTTCAATGGATGTGGTGGAAGTCTTTTTATCAGATAGCTTAACCAATTAACTATTCTGAAGTGCCAAAATTAAGATATAGTTATAGCCAGGGGGGAATGTAAAAGGACAATTGAAAAGGAGACTTGGTGATTTCTGATGATGCTAAACCAAGACAATCTATAATCTCAAATCTATGACGAAAGAAGTGATTTGTTCCTATTGAGTACAAACTTCAACACTAGATCTTTTAACCCCTCATACCAATGTTTCTTCTTTGAGGGGGAAGCAATTAAAAAATGTCAGCTTATATGTGAGTCTCTTGATCTATTTATGAACATTCCCGTTGTACTCATAATGCAAAACTCAAACATCATTAATGACATAATCTGTATCACTCATTCTCTGATTTCATTTGCTCTATTTCTTCTATTCTGGCAAAAACTTCATTCATTTTAGGCCTCTCTCTGGTGTCATATCAGTACACTGTAGAGCTATCTCTGTGAGCTCAAACATAGCACCATGCCCTTCTCTTGCTGCTAATATCTCTGCATCAAGTATATCTGTCGACCAATCATTGTTCACCACTGTTCTAACCCATTCAGAAATATCACTGGTCGCTTCTTCAATCTCACCCAGGCTTTCACCTGGAACTTTCCCAGTTACTACCTCAAGGATGATGATTCCAAAGCAATAGACATCAGCTTTATGTGTGAGCTTCTTCCCTTGGACAAATTCAGGCGACTTACTGATGGCTAGCTTTTCTGCAGATTTTTTAGCAGAAAGCAAAGGTAAGAAGCCAAAGTCTGTGAGCTTGGCATGGTAAAACCCTTGAGCATCTTGATGAATGAGGACATTGGAAGTTCTTAGATTGGCATGAGGGACCTTATGAGAAGGCAGAGAGTGGTGAAGGAAAGCTAGACCTCTCGCTATGTCCTTGATTATAGCCAGCCTTGTGGACCAATCAAGAGTTCTTCCAAGTCCTCTATTTTCTAGCATTAGCAGATTAGGAATATCAGCATCGAATCATTCTTTTTTTGTTTTCATATAAAAGGAGGAAAGGAGGGAATCAAACACTAACCATGAAGCAGCTCAAACAAAGAGGAACTAGGGATAAACTCATAAACCACCAGCTTTTGCTCATCTGAGTAATAGAAAGTGATGATTTCAACCAGATTTTGATGTTTCAACCCTGCTTGCAATTGCATATGCTGGAGGAATAATTCCTTCTTGCCAAATCCATTCATGTGATCAAGTCTCTTCACAGCAACAATAGCACCAGTTTCAAGTGTTGCTTTGTACGTAGTGCCTAAGCTTCCCTTGCCTAGCATCTCCGCTGATGCCCTTAATAAATCATCCAAGTCAAAAATTGGGTATTCCTTGCTGTAAATTTCCAGTGTGCCTGACCTTTCAGGATATTCATTGCTCAATGAATAGGACATCATATTCTTTGCCCATGCCCCAAAACCATACCCTGTTTCAAAAAGTGAAGAACAAGTTACAAGTCATTTATAATCCTGTTCTCAATCCAATATTCTGACATTCTGCTTAAACAAATCTCAATCTCTTTCTTCCTATTATATTGTATGAAGTGGAGGTTTCACTAAAATCCTACAATGTGGTTTCTTATTTATATATTCTAGTTCTCTCAAACAGGGTAATTTTGCATATGAAAATTTTCCCAGGGGTATAAACGAAAATAATCTTTTAGCCATCCCTTTTGTTTCCTTCTAACCCCTTTCATTTTATTTAGATTCCCTGCCTTGTCTTGACTTCTAAATTCCCAAACATACCCAGAAAGTTCATATAAATAGCATGTATCAGAGGTGTCTTACCTGGAGATTCATTTCTGGTTGTTTCTTTTGCTTTAACCCTTTTGTTACAGAATAAGAAGACAATAATAATCAGTAAAAAAACCAGTGCAGGTGCTGCAATGATCAAAGCAATACTCCATACTGGAAGTCTCTTGTTTTCTCTGAAGCTTCTGGGGTTGGAGCTGGTGCACAAGAAGGTTCTGGAGAAGGAGAAGGACACAAAACATCCAATGGCTTCCCACAGAGATCTGAATTATTATCAAAAGAGCTCTTAGGAAATTTCTGCATCTCATAAGTTTGAGGAATTGGTCCTGACAGGTGATTATAAGAGACATTGAAAATATTCAATGATGCTTGATCAAAAGGTGGGATTTGACCATCTAAGTAATTCATTTGCAGCTCCAATTCTTTCAAACCAGGCAATCCAACATACTCCAATGGAATTGACCCATAGAAGCGATTATATGAAAGCAAAACACTTTCCAAGAACACCAAGTTGGTGAGATTTGGCAGAGTCCCAGAAATTGAATTGTTTCTGAGGTTAAGCTGAGTCAAGAATGTTATGTTCTGAGGGAATGCAGGAGGCAAATAGCCAAGAAGCTCAAAACCTTCAAGGACAATCTGAACAACATGCCAATTAAAACAAGTGATACCTTTCCATCTACTTAGGTTGTCTATACACGGTGGTCCTGTCCAATTCCCATGTAAATCATCAGAAGGAGAAGTTAAGGAATTTCTCAGAAGCAACAGAGCAGCTCTTTCCTCGGGATGGAACTGTGGAAGCACCATGTTCAGTGACAGAAGCAACAGAACCATAAGGTGAAGACAGTTCATGATGATGATGAGATTGGATACTATAGTCTGACATGGATGGGGGTTTCAAACCAATCAAATGGTTTATCATTAACCATTTGTTCAACTTTCTGGTTTTTACAGTTTGACGGAAGTATCCGCCCCCCCGGGGGGGGGGGGAGAGAAAAAAGTTGTTCCCAGATCAATGCTTGTATACAATTTGGACACAAGCGGTCTAAACAAGGTTGAGATTCACGTTTACTTTGTTATCTAGGTGGTCCCTTTGTTGTAATATGAAACATGAGCTGCACTACAGTTCGCTATAAATTATTAATATCTACATGTTAACATAAAATACAAAGTTTATAACAAAATGGATTAATTGATTTTAACGATATGGATTTGATGACTATTATATTACAATAATAAAGTAAGAAACAACATGACAGCTTTCCTACAATAATCTGAACAATCCAATCATCTACATTCGTTCATTCATTGTTCATTGATTGGTTTGTTGTTTATGAATAAGAAATACAAGTTGTTATAAAGTAGAATCTTCGTGGTAAGCAAGGAATGTCAAAAGAGATTTTTTGTCATTAAATATATCTTAAGAAATCACAAAGTTGTTGTAATACTCGAAGATTATTACCAAAAAAACAAAGAACAAAGCATATTATAAGTTATTTCAAACAGCGTAGAATCAAATAATTAAGAAAATGGCACCAGTCATTGTCGAAACATCTAAGAACAGAAGATCCAAAATAGTTTCGTGGAAGACTAACAGGAGCATTGCTTAGTTGGACCAGATTCGTGGGCACGCAGAATAATATTTTAATTAATCTGACACGTCCTATAAATAATATGTCCTTACCCGCAAACAAACACAAACCCCGTATGGATCCTTAATCTCTGATCAGCTTGGCTTTTAAAAGTATGATCCTTTTAATTGATGACTTTTAATCAAAATTATGTTTCCCTTAGTGCACAGATTTTTTTTGGGGGGGGGGTCCCCTTTTGCCATATGGTGCAGAGTGTGAAACATGAGATATGATCACAATGATAAATGTGGCTTTAAAGTTAATACTACCTCTAATCCATGATATAAAATGCTAGTTATGGTGGTCAAAGAAAGCCGTTAGTAAGTTTTATCAGAAATCAAGAAATGTTAGTTACATCATTAAATGTGTTTTAAATTGATAAAAGTTACCTATTTTATCTTTCTTAAAGAATGTAATTGGAAAATTCTCTTATCTCTCTCCTGCATTCAAAATTCTCTCCCCTCCTTGAAATACAGGGTGTAAGTGAAAAACTATCATTAATTATTCTATTAATTTCTTATATTTTATATCAAAATTTTCTTCTAGATTATATTATGGAATAGAGAGTATCATACTGCTCCGGCCGGGCAATTTTAGAAGGTATTCTTTATCCTTCTTAAAAGATATTTGAGAGTTGTAAAAAGTATTAATTAAATATTTTTCTTCATATATGGACATATTTAATAATGATGTTGAAAGAGTAGAAATTAATAGAAAAAATTGGAGATAAATCCTATGCTGAAAAAATAATTGGCAAATGA